ACGGCCCCGCCCACGGTGCTGGTGTCTCTGGTGGACAGCGGCCAGGCGCCTAAGGCCTCTTCGCGGGCGATGGTGGGCGCTGCTGGCCCCGAGTCGACCCTGGTGGACGTGAACGTGTACCTGATCATCGCCATCTGCGCGGTGTCCAGCCTGCTGGTGCTCACGCTGCTGCTGTACACGGCGCTGCGGTGCTCGGGGCCGCCCCCAGAGGGCGCTTGCGGGCCTGGGAAGCCGACGCTGGTGTGCTCCAGCGCGGTGGGGAGCTGGTCGCAATCTCAGCAGAGGAGGAGTCAGAGGGTGTGCTCTGGGGAGGGCCCTCCCAAGACCGACCTCATGGCCTTCAGCCCCAGCCTTCCACCTTGTCCAGTTGCGGATATAGCAGTAGAAGAACGTTCTGTTGAAGGGGACCACTTTGTGAAGGTACATTACTACATTTTTGCTTTCGTAGTTTGCTTAGTGAATATTTTCTCACTTCATTTTTCTCAAATATATCTCAGAATATTTTCACTTTTTGTCTATGTATCATTCATGCTCAAATATATCTTACGATAAGTAATATTTAGTGATTATATTTCATTACATTGGTAATGAATTTGATTTTAGTATTTTATGATTTTTTAAAGTTTAGTTACCTCTTTTACAGGAGTGACAGAGAGAAAGTAAAGACAAGTCCTTGAACAGCATCTTTCCTCTCCCAGTCCTCCCAGTCAGTCAGGATGGCCCCCATTGGTGTTTGGGTGTGTAGCGGTTAAGTGAGGAATTGAACTTGAGACCTTGCATTTGGTTCCTATGCCTCCAAGCATCGCTTGAGCCAAACATAACTAGTGAATCATCTACCCTGGCCCCTAAGTCTATTTTGTATTGTCTATTTTATCCTGTGTGTCAACCTTTGCTTGATACTTCAGTTTTCAGAATTCTAAATACATTAATATTTTTCAGTACAAATAATTGAGATTGTCATTTGATTATGTATTTGTATAACCTAATTTTTTTTTGAGAGATTTTCACTGTAGGGCGCGTGCACTCGCCAGACAGACTGAGAGAGACATAGAGACAGAAAGCGAGAAATCACCCCCCAGGGGGGATGGTCACGCTGCAATCCCTTCTCCCCCATTCTCCTCTTGGGATCTTGGGCACGCACGCACACGCGCCCGGCGTGAGTTTTAAGCCACCGGGTCCGGGACACGAACCGCGGTCGACTACATGGGAATCCAGCGACATAGCCATTACGCTAACTGCTGGTTCCCTATAACCTAATTTTTATGTTACAAATAATTGTAAGATTACTACTTTAATTCACTTATTTCATTTTACTTTTAAAAACCCTTATTTTATTGAACTTTATTTATTATTGTTATTTTTAAATTTGAGAAAGAGAGAGAGGGAAAGTGAGAAGCAAGCTGTTAGGTCTGGGACTTGAACCATGTTTGACCATGTAGGAGTTCATCACCTTAACCACAATACCTCCTGCTAGCTCATTTTCCAAATCTGTACCTTGATTTGACTCTATTGCAGTAACAAAAAGACTGCACTGATTTGTTACTTTTTTTTTTTTCTTTTTGAGAGGTTTTTGCTATAGGGCGTGTGCGCTCACCAGACAGATAGAGAGACACATAGAGACAGAAAGCGAGAAATCACCCCCCAGGGGGGATGGTCACGCCGCAATCCCTTCTCCTCCATTCTCCTCTCAGGATCCTGGGCACACACACACATGCGCCCAGCGTGAGTTCTAAGCCACCGGGTCCGGGACTCGAACTGTGTTTGACTACGTGGGAATCCAGTGACATAGCCATTACGCTAACTGCTGGTTTCCGTGATTTGTTACTTTTCAATGAAAAAAAAAATTATTTTGCTGCCTAAAATGTGTTTTTGCTCCCTAGTGTAGAACATGTGTCAAGCATCATAACTTATATGACACACTAGACTTTCAATATTTAGTAATTATACTTCTCAGTAGTGCAGCAATTAGACTGGCAGGTCATTGGTAAAATTTTCCTAAATCTTGAGAATTAAGGTAAATGTTCTTAGCAATAACATTTTCCTTTCTCTTTCCCCCTCAGTATGAAGACTGAATTTGCTATTAATATGTGCTTCATAAATACATTCCCCAAAATATTGAACCCATTGTTCAAGTTTAAGGATACCAAACAATATGGGGCCAGCAGGTGTCATGGTGGTTAAGGTTCTGGACTCCCACATGGCTCACTGTGGTTTGAGTCCTGGACCTGGTGGCTTGCTTTCTCACTTTCCCTTTCTCTCCTTCTCTGTCTCTCTCTGGTCAAAGAAAAACAATAATAATAAATACAATAAAATAAATATTTCCTTAAAAAAAAAGAATACCAAAAAGACAATTGTGGCAGGAATTTAAGCATGGCATTACCTATAATGTTAATACTTTTTATGGCTTGTTTCTAGCTCTTAGAGATTATAGATGAAAGTTAATATAGAGTTAAAGTTTGTATCCATTGTTATAGCAAATATGTGAAACTCATATATACCTCCTCTGAAGATAATTGGAAAAAAATTCCCCTATCTTAGATTATTCCAAAGTATCTTCCTTTCCCTTATTCTCATTTTAATCATGAAAGTCTCAGTTCTGCAGGTGTATTCATCTCTAAATTCATATAATTTCAAGTTTTTTATTTTTGGAGAGGTTTTTGTTATGAGGCATGTGTGCTTGTCAGAAAGACAGAGAGAGACAGAGAGACAGAAAGTGAGAAATCACCCCCTGGGATGGATGGCCATGCCGCAATCCCTTCTCCTCCATTCTCCTCCCAGGATCTTGGGCATGCATGCACATGTGTCCGGCATGAGTTTAAGCCACCGGGTCTGGGACTCGAACCGTGGTCGACTGCATGGTAGTCCAGCAACGTAGCCATTATGCTATCTGTTGGTCCCTCAAATCTTTAATATAAACGTTAAGAGATAATTTAAAACATTTTGTCATAGGGCATATGTCCTTGCCAGAGAAAGAGGAGGTTGAGAAAGCACCTCTCAGGAGGAGGGATGTGCTGCAATCCCTTCTTGGAATTTTGGGTGTGTACACATGCCCAGTGTGTTGGGTCCAGGACTTGAACCATGAAGTTGGCCTAACTATAGCTATATTAATATATTATAGTTACTAGCTATATGGAAGCCTTGGAATTTGGGGCTTTAAAATTCTCTTTGATATGTACTTATTTACAAGTAAGCAATCTTTTAAACAAAAATTGGAATGGACCTTTAGCATAGAATTATTCATAAAGAGACTGGATCATTTCACCTATAAGAGTTTTTATTTTCAATTTCTTGATCATCTCTGTTTCTGAATTTAGTCACTTCCATGTGATGAAATTTTTTTGCTCTTTTGCTTATGCAATATGTCGGTCTAGAATTTCTATCTTCCACAGTAAAAACAATGATATGTACTTAAACTGTAAACCTTTGATATAGATTTATGATCACTGAATTGCCATTTAAAAGATGTTCAAAATGAAGGCAAGCTCACTTTTTTTTTTGCTTGTCTGGGAAAGACTATTTATTTAAAAATTTTTATTTATTCATTCATTTATTTTAATTTGATCAGAGAGACACACACACAGAAAGAGAGAAAGTGAGAAAGCAATCCACCAGGTCCAGGACTCAAACCGTGGTTCAACATGTGGGAGTGTCCAGCACCTTAACCACCACGCCACCTGCTGGTCCCCAGCAAGCTCACTTTTATATAAAACCAAAGGACCACTTGTATCTTTTTACAGTTGTTTTGGTTTCTATTTCCAGTTGTTTGTGAGTAGGAGAATTGGAATTTTTCTCAATAGCGTAAAACTTACTACAAGGATTGAGATGTTGGGTAGTTGGTTTCTTACAGTCTTGGGAATGATCAAAACATGTTTTACTCTTTAAGATAATATTGATAAACTTTATTGCAATTGATAAAAGTTGTTATTCAAATTTCATTTTTTTTGTATTTGAGATAAAAATAGGAAAATAAAATTGAGTATATGTGTTAGACTTAGAATAACCTTTATGTTGTCCTTGTCTCTAGTTCTCTATAGTTTGGGTATAGGAGAGCATAAACAGGCAAATACAATTTGTATTCCTAATCTAGGTTTTTTTTTTAATGCGAAAAGGATTATTTTGGCCAAATAAGCAATGTGTATATTACATAACTATATATCTATATATCTGTATATATAGTGGTTGTCCTTGTAGTGGATGAACACTACAACATTTACTCAGAGCAGATACAACGACTGAAAAAATTCTTTAAAATGAAACAAATTCTTATAAATACGCTATGTGTTTCTAGGAGTCAGTTCTGGGTAAATTCATTAACATCAAAGCAGAACAGATCATTGGATAAACAGAAATTGCTCATCAGCATTGGTCTGAAATCTCATTATGTGGTGATGATAACTTTGAGATTTGGGTGTTCACTTATCCTCTATGCAATCTGGCCAACTATATAATTTAACATAATAGAAAGGATTTAACAGTAAAAAATTATAGGGTTAGGAAGAGATTTTATAAGATGTCACTCATAAATGATAAGTTTCTTAAAAATATTATGAAAACTAGTATGCAACAAATATAGTCTTCCCATGTACATGATAATGCAGTTAATATAATACATCCTTTTAGATGTCTATGTACAAGATAAAACTCTTCTTGAAACTCTAATTTGTAGACAAAAGTACTGTTAAATAGCTACTAGTCACACATCAAAATGTATATGAAAGACTTTGAAAGTTCACAAAGAAAAACATGGACAAATATGAAGAAATGAGGAAAGTGGCAAAGTAGGTGAAATAGTATAAACTCAAATGCACTTACATTTTGAGCCACAGGATGTCGTTGTTCCCTAAGAAGAGCATTTTTTTTTTTAAACATGAGTATTAGATTATCCTTCGATCAGCTCCGCTGTTGCAGTGCTTTAAAGATCATAAATGCACCCATATTGGTAAGATCACCTGGACTTTAGGAGCAAGGAATCAAAAGAAAGATCTTGAAGGTACTACGTTTCCCCAGTCCTGAAAAATTATTTTACAAACAAAAGAGAGGCATGTTAGCTGCCACACCGGGTGGCCGGGCAGCCCTACGCCTGCTGCTCTCGCTGCTGCTGGTCGCAGCCTGGGAGGCGGAGAGCGGCCAGCTCCACTACTCGGTCCCGGAGGAGGCCAAACACGGCACCTTCGTGGGCCGTATCGCGCAGGACCTGGGGCTGGAACTGGAGGACCTGGTGCCCCGCCTGTTCCGGATGGCGTCCAAGGGCCGCGCGGACCTTCTGGAGGTAAATCTGCAGAATGGCATTTTGTTTGTGAATTCTCGGATCGACCGGGAGGAGCTGTGCGGGCGGAGCGCGGAGTGTAGCATCCACCTGGAGGTGATCGTGGACCGGCCGCTGCAGGTTTTCCACGTGGACGTGGAGGTGAAGGACATTAACGACAACCCGCCAGTCTTCCCAGCGACACAAAAGAATCTTTTTATTTCCGAAACAAGGGCTCTTGACTCCCATTTTTCACTAGAGGGCGCCTCGGATGCAGACGTCGGGGCCAACGCTCAGCTCACGTACAGATTGAGCCCCAACGAGTATTTCTCGCTGGACATACCAAGCAACGATGAACAGCTGAAGCCGCTTGACTTAGTATTGAAGAAACCTTTAGACAGAGAAGTCGCTTCGGAGCTTCTTTTGGTGCTCAGAGCAACTGATGGGGGTAAACCTGAGCTGACAGGTATCCTAGAATTACATATCACAGTGCTGGATGTAAATGACAACGCCCCAATGTTTGATAAAGCTGTCTATAATGTGAAAGTACTGGAAAATGCAAGAAACGGTACACCAGTTATTAGACTTAATGCTTCGGATTTGGATGAGGGTTCAAACAGCCACATTGTTTATTCCTTCGCAAGTGATATCTCCTCTAATATAGAAAGCTCTTTTCGCATAGATGCAGACAGTGGAGAAATAAAAGTAAATGGAAAAATAGATTTTGAAGAAAAAAAACTATGGAAAATACCAATAGAGGCAGTTGACAAAGGCAATCCGCCAATGGTTGGTCACTGTACAATCCTGGTAGAAGTCTTGGACATCAATGATAATGCCCCAGAGTTAGTAGTAACGTCTCTATCACTTCCTGTTCGAGAGGATGCACCAGTGGGGACCGTCATCGCCCTAATCAGTGTAACCGATCCTGACTCCAGTGCCAACGGGCAGGTGACCTGCTCCCTGACTCCAAACGTCCCCTTCAAGCTGGTGTCCACCTTCAAGAATTACTACTCGCTGGTGCTGGACAGCGCCCTGGACAGAGAGAGCATTTCTGACTACACCGTGGTGGTGACAGCGCGGGACGGGGGCTCGCCTTCGCTCTGGGCCACCGCCAGCGTGTCGGTGGAGGTGGCCGACGTGAACGACAACGCGCCGCTGTTCGCGCAGCCCGAGTACACGGTGTTCGTGAAGGAGAACAAACCGCCGGGAT